GGGGTTTCACCATGTTGGCCAGGCTGGTCTCGAACTCCTGACCTTGTGATCCGCCTGCCTCAGCCTCCCAAAGTGCTGGGATTACAGGCGTGAGCCACCGCACCCGGCTGTAAATTTATTTTTAAAACACAAGAAAAGCTAAACAATCTACTCACTCTAGCTTTTTTCTAAGTGTAGGAAGCTGGTGAAAAATTTACGACCACTTCAGAAATAAAAAATATGAAAAACAAACTCAGTCAGGCACAGTGGCTCATGCCTGTAATCCCAACATTTTGGGAGGCCGAGGCAGGCAGATCACTTGAGGTCAGAAGTTCGAAACCAGCCTGGCCAACATGGTGAAACCTCGTCTCTACTAAAAATACAAAAATTAGCCAGGCGTAGTGGCTCATGTCTATAGTCCCAGCTACTCAGGAGGCTGTGTCACAAGAATCATTTGAACCCAAGAAGCAGAGGTTGCAGTGAGCCAAGATTGTGCCACTGTACTCCAGCCTGAGTGATAGAGTGAGACTCCATCTCAAAAACAAAACAAAACAAAACAAAAAAAAACAAACTCAACTCTAACATCAAGACAAGCCTTTTTCTAAACTACTAAATATTTTAAAAATACATATGAAAATCCCATTAGAGGGCCAGGCAAGGTGGCTCATGCCTGTAACCCTAGCACTTTGGGAGGCCAAGGCAGGAGGATCATTTGAGTCCAGGAGTTCAAGACTAGCCATCCTGGGTGACATGGCGAAACACCATCTCTACAAAAAATACGAAAATTACCAGGCAGTATAGTGTGCACCTGCAGTCTTGGCTACTCAGAAGACTGAGGTGGAAGGACTGTTTGAACTCAGGAGGAAGCAGAGGTTGCAGTGAACCTAAATCGCACCACTGCACTCCAGTCTAGGCAACAGAGTGAGACCTTGTCTCAAAAAAAAAAAGGAGAGAGAAAAAAAAAAAAAGTAAATGAGATCAAAGCAGAAACTAGCACACACAACTTACGGAGCTTGCTGTAGTTATACGGCCAAATTATGGCCAAACTGGGATTCATATCCAGGCTCATTATATCCTTCGAACCACAGGGAATAGGTCCAAAGAACTAACTACTCCAAATCTTTCTGACTCACAAATCTTAAAGCTTTTCTTTTGTTTCTGAGACAGAGTCTCGCTTTGTTGCCCAGGCTAGAGTGCAGTGGCATGATCTCAGCTCACTGCAACCTCTGTCTCCTGGTTCAAGCAATCCTCCTGCCTCAGCCTCCCGAGTAGCTGGGATTACAGGCACCCACCACCACGCCTGTCTAATTTTCATATTTTTAGTAGAGATGGTGTTCCACCATGTTGGCCAGGCTGGTCTCAAACTCCTGAGCTCAGCTGACACAGCGCCTTGACCTCCAAAAGTGCAGGGATTACAGGCATGAGCCACCATGCCTGGATACCCTTAAAGCAAACTTTTTAGATCACAAAATGTTACAAAATATTGAAAATATTGAGAGAACATTGAGAATATTAGTATACATGGAAGTTGTGCCCATTTACAGAAAAATAAAATGCTGCCTGTTTTAAAAAAAAAAAAAAAAAAAGGAAATCAGATAAAAACCCTCCAATGGCTTCCATTCTAATCAGAGCAGCATCCAAGTCCTGACCAGGATGATGAGGCTCCAGGGCAACTACTGCTGCTCTTCTCCTACTGCACTTTGCTCTAGCCATCACACTGACTCGCTGAAATACTGCACACACAGCTAGTATGCGTCAGCCACAGGGCTTTTGCCCTGTTTCCTCTACCTGGAACATTCCTCCGACAGACAGCTGTATGTCTCACTACTTCATTTCCTTTAAGCTTCTGCTCAAATGCTACCTTATGAGAAAGGCCTTCCATGAACATTCTATGGAATACCCCTGCCATCACTACCTACCTATTCTCCCTTTCTTCTTACCCTCCTCATTGTTTGGCACTACATTAATCACGGTCTGGTCCCCTGCTGTTTACTTGTGCAGTAGTATAGAAACTCCAGAAAGTAGGCGGTTGTATGTTTTGTTTTCTTTTTTGCTACCATGATCCAAGCACCTAAAACATTACTTGGCACATATTAGACACCCAATAAATATTTGCTGAATGAATAACAGAAAAAAACATATTTCCCCTATAAAATTATAATAATGCCACTTTGAGGGAAAAAAAAAAAACTTGAAAATACACGTAACGCCAAACAGCATTAAATGGGTAAACACACTAAATACATAGCACATCCATATGACAGTCAACATATGACACAGACTATATGCTAGTAACACAGAGAAATACACATGAAAAAATCAAATGAGGCCAGGTGTAGTACCTCATGCCTGTAATCCCAGCACGTTGGGAGGTCGAGGTGGGAGGATCAGTTGAGGTCAGGAGCTTGAGACCAGCCTGGCCAACATGATGAAACCCTATCTCTAATAAAAATGCAAAAATTAGCCAGGTGTGGTGGCACACACCTGTAATCCCAGCTACTCAGGAGGTTGAGGCAGGAGAATAGCTTGAACCCGGGAGGTGGAGGTTGCAGTGAGCCAAGACCACACCATTGCACTCCAGCCTGGGGAAGAGAATGAGACTTCGTTTTAAAAAAAAAAAAAAAAGAATCAAATGAAAAAAATTAGGATGCCAAAAATTGATTACTTTATAAGAAAATACAGGCTGGGCATAGTGGCTCACACCTGTAATCCCAGTACTTTGGGAGGCCAAGGTGTGTGGATCACCTGAGGTCAGGCGTTCAAGACCAGCCTGGTCAATATGGCAAAACCCCGTCTCTACTAAAAATACAAAAAATTAGCCAGGTGTGGTGGTGGGCACCTGTAATCCCAGGTACTTGGGAGGCTGAGGCAGGAGAATTGCTTGGACCCGGGAGGCGGAGGTTGCAGTAAGCCAAAATCATGCCATTGCACTCCAGCCCGGACAACAAAGCAAGACTCTGTCTCAGAAAAAAAAAAAAGAAGAAAGGCTGGGCGCAGTGGCTCGCACCTATAATCCCAGCACTTTGGGAGGCCGAGGCGGGTGGATCACCTGAGGTTAGGAGTTCGAGGCCGGCCTGGCCAACACGGTGAAACACCGTCTCTACTAAAAATACACAATTAGCCAGGCGTGGTGGCAGGCGCCTGTAATCCCAGCTACTTGGGAGGCTGAGGCAGGAGAATCTCTTGAACGTGGGAGGCGGAGGTTGCAGGGAGCCAAGATCAGTGCCACTGTACTCCAGCCTGGGTGACAGAGCAAAACTCCATCTCAAAAAAAAAAAAAAGAAAAAGAAAATACATATCTACATATAAAAAATAAGCTATCTTATAATAATGAAAATAAAATTTTCTATTCACTGGTTTCTTTTTTGTCATGTAACGATACTTAGGACAGTAATTTATAAAGTAAGCAAGCAAAACAGCTAATTGTAATTGCTCAATCTTTTAAAAACTTTGATTCAACACACAGAATAGCATCCTGGTCTAAAAATAAGAAGACTATATAAACAAAATGTGTTTCTTACAGAGAGAGCTGCATCTGAGGGAAGTCAGTCGAAGCGTTTTTATGCATGAAATCTCCTGCCCATTTACAAAACGAAGGAAGATAGTCCTCTACTTCTTGTTTTATTTCATCTTGACTTAGATTTAAGCGGTACCTGCCAAAAATATGATAGTAAATATGAAAGTATAAATATTAGAAAAGTAAATGAGGACAAAAACACAAATAAGCAACCCAACTGTTCATCAGCCAATAAATAGATAAGCAAAATGTGGCATATTCCATTCAATGCAGTATTATTCAGCTATAAAAAGGAAGGAAATTCTGACATATGCTACAACATTGAAGAACCTTCAGGACATTATGCTAAGTGAAATAGGCCAGTCACAAAAGGACTAATATTCATATAAGGCACCTACAGCAGTGAAAATCACAGAGACAGAAAGTAGAATGGGGGTTGCCAGAGGTTGGGAGGAGGAAAGAAGGAGAAGTTATTGTTTCAAGGGCACAGAGCTTCAGTTTGGGAAGATGCAAAGAGTTCTGGAGATAGACAGGTGATGGTTGCACAACAAGGTGAATGTACTTTCCCTCTGAACTGTACCCTTAAAAATGGTTAACACAGGCAGAGCACGGTGGCTCACATCTGTAATTCCAGCACTTTGGGAGGCCGAGGTCAGCAGTTGGAGACTAGCCTGGCCAACATGGTGAAACCCTGTCTCTACTAAAAATACAAAATTTAGCCAGACGTGGTGGTGCATGCCTGTA